TGAGGTGGGGTGACCACATCTGCACACAGTATTCAAGATGTGGTCGTACCATAGATTTATACAGAGGCAGTATGATATTTTCTGTGCTATTATCTATCACTTTCTTAATTACTCTTCGCAGTATGCTTGGCTCTTAACTATCTTCAATCATTTTGTATCATCTGCAGATTTTGCTACCTCACTGTTTACAGCTTTTTCCAGATAATTTGAATAGGACTGGTCCCAGGCCTCTGGACACCACTATTTACCTCTCTCCATTCTGAAAACTTACCATTTATACCTATCCTTTGTTTCTTATCTTTTAACCAGTTACCAATCCATGAGAACACCTTCCTCTTATCCCATGACTGCTTACTTTGCTTAAGAGCCTTTGGTGAGGAACCTTGTCAAAGGCTTTCTGAAAATCTAAGTACACTATAACCACTGGATCACCTTTGTCCAAATGCTTGTTGACCCCCTCAAAGAACTTTAGTAGATTGGTGAGGCACGATTTCCCTCTACTAAAACCATGTTGACTCTTCTTCAACAAATTATGTTCATCTATATATCTGACAATATTATTCTTTATTATAGTTTCAACCAGTTTGCCCGGTACTGAAGTCAGGCTTACAGGCCTGTAATTGCCCGGATCACCTATGCAGACCTTTTTAAAAATTGACATCACATTAGCTATCCTCCAATCATTTGGTACAGAAGCTGACTTAAATGATAGGTTACAGACTATAGTTAGTAGTTCTGCAATTTCACATTTGAGTTCCTTCAGAACTCTTCGGTGAATCCCATCTGGTCCTGATGACTTATTGCTGTTTAATTTATAAATTTGTTCCAAAACTTCCTCTAATGATACCTCAATCTGGGACAGTTCTTCAGATCTGTCACCTAAAAAGAATGGCTCAGGTTTGGGAATCTTCCTCACATCCTCAGCTGTGAAGACCGATGCAAAGAATTAATTTAGTTTCTCCGCAATGGCCTTATCTTTGAGCACTCTTTTAGCAACTCGATTGTCCAGTGGCCCCACTGGTTGTTTAGCAGGCTTCCTGCTTCTGATGTACTTAAAAAAAATTTACAATTAGTTTTTGAGTCTTTGGCTAGCTGTTCCTCATATTGTTTTTGGCCTTCCTAATTGTATTTTTACACTTCATTTGCCATTTAAATCTCTTCTTCTTTTCTTTTATTATTAAACCTTTAGTTTTTAGTTACTAATGGATTGGCAGCAGCGTGATCTTTGGGTAAGATCTGAGTTATATATTGGCCTGGTTATGTGGCTGAGCTCTTGAGATAAGAAGGATCCTATACGTGGCAAAATTTGTCTTCACTGACCACTCATCCTGGAGTCCAGTGTGTGGATGGTGATCTGGGGCTGTGATGCCTAATGAGATTGCACTTTTTTTGCTTCCAGTTAAGCCGTGTGGTGACACAGAAGTTGAAGTTTGTTACTGGCTTGGTACAATCTAATGGGGGTGAGTCTGCTCTATTTCTCAGCAATTTGTCATGAATTTGTCATCCTCAGCTGTGTTCCACTAAAGCACGATGACACCTGAATACCACTGACAAGTTCTTCATGAACTATTGCTCACTACTCCCAACAGATATCCCCCTTTAAAAGATCAGGAAACTGAGGCAGCAGGAAGGGTTTAGTCTCTCTCAGACCTGGCTTGTACAGTCCATGCAGGAGCAAAGAGACCTGGTGCTGTTGCTCCATTGGTTTCTCTATTTCAGAGGACTTCCCCTGATCTCATTGGGACTGCACCCACTTATACCAGCTGAGGATTTGGCCCAAGTCTTTTAACTAGAGATATAGTGTCATCAGAGACCAGTAAACTGGGAGTGACGAGTCCCAGCTCTGCCATGGATTCATAGGGTGACCTTGGGCACAGCCCCTCCATGCATTAAATGGAGATTATTTTTATTGTGTTTAATGTGCTGCTCCTAAAAGGCCTTAATCAGGGCCTACAAGTCACACCTTGCACTGATTTCATTCCTCGAAGAACATTCTTGGGCCTCTATCACTGTGTACACTTCTAGGCAGGGTTTGGTTTTTGATGAACAAGAAAGACAAGTCTGAATACAGAGCTATGTGGCCGTACTTTGTAACTGTTTCTTTAATAAATTCCTCCTGTTCAAGGAGGACTGCAACACCACTGATTACAACACACAAATAACCTCACTGCACCTAATACAACCGAAAGAAGCAATGGCAGTTCATAGCTATAGCAACGGTGCTGGGGGAGCCAAGACCTCCAGTACCCATTCCCACCTCTGCTGTTGACTTATTGCATTGCCCTAGGTAAATCACTTTACTGCTGCTTCTCTCAGTCCCTCCATGACATGGGGATAATGCTGCCTAGCAGCCTAGCTAAAGAGCGTCTAGATGTAGTGACAAAAAGCATCATGCAGAGCGTATGTTAGACTCAGCGTCACTGTTCAGCCTCAGCCCCTGGGCAATAGGTGCCCTGTAGTTCCAGATAAGGTGCCCTGTATGTGTGTAAATAGCAGACAAACAGCACACCTTCTGTTAATCTCCCTCCCTGTGAGCTACCTAAGCCACCCCAGACTCGGCCCAGCATCCAGCCTTCCCAGCTAACTCCGGGGCTTGTCCTTCCACCTTCGTGGAAGAGGTAGAGCAGGGAGATGGGCCTCAGTTGACATTGTGGATAGTTTTCTGAAAATATCAATTCAATGTGCAGTGGCAGTCAAAAAAAGTGAACAGAATGTTGGGAATCATTAGGAACAGAACAGATAAGACAGAAAATAGGGTGACCTTGGTAACCCATATTGGCGCTATATAAATCCATGGTATGTCTGTATATTGAATACTGCATGCAGATGTGGTTGCACCATCACAAAAAATATACTTTGGATTTGGAATATGTACAGAGAAGGGAAACAGAAATGATTATGAGCATGGAACACAGTCCATAGGAGGAAAGATTAAAAAGACTGGGACTTTTCAGCTTGGAAAAGCGGGGGGATGTGTGAGGTGTCTATAGAATCATGAATGGTGTAGAAAAATTGAATATGGAAATGTTATTTACTCCTTCACATAACAGAAGAACTAGGGGTCACCCAACTAATTTAATAGGCAGCAGATTTAAAAGAAACAAGAGGACATATTTCTTCACAGTCAAACTGTGGAACTATTTGCCAGGAGATGTTGTGAAGGCCAAAACAATAACAAGGTTCCAGTAGGAACTAGGAAAAAATCATGGAGAAATAGGTCCTGTTAGAGAGCTTATTCCTTCACTCTCCCACTTCCCTGGTCCTTCTCGCATGAACAGAGAGCAACAATACCCGAAGTCCGAAGGTGCAAACAATTCGATGTTTATTGGGGTGAACTTCCAGCAAGCTTAAATACAAGTTCCTTTTTCCTTATTTTCGAATCCCAACTTACTTCCTGTTTGCCCCTAATTTATATAGTAATATTCTTAGCTATACCTTAACCAATCATTCTACTGAAATTTAACTAACCAATCCTAACATATTGTAATATGATTAGCTAACCGATTATATCCCACCACAATAATTAGATTACACCCAGCAAAATTAATTATACAGCAGACAGAAACAATCACAGAACCAGACAGAGATTATACAGACAAACAATAGCAAAGTGGGAACTATAATGACAAAACAATACAGAAGTGAGGATTTCACATCCCAACTATTGTTAAGTGAGTTCTTGCCAGACAGGATGCTATCAAACTAAGTTTCCTTTTACGTTTTCTAGACACTTCCCTTTCTCTGGAGGTGATAGGAATACAATCCTGTCCTGATAGTGCCTGACAGCCCAATAGCACCTTATTTCAATGTGACTAGTTTGGAATGTGAGGAGGTGACCGGTCGCTTCCTAGCTTATGGCTGCCTCTGTCGCTTAGCCAAAGGCCTTAGCCTAAGAACAGGGCCTCAGACTGTCACAGTAAGAGAAGGCCTTACACCGGCAGACAGTGATTTTGATTCTTTCTTTTATACCTCTAGAACTAGCCAAGTGATAAGAATACACCTAAATTCTTAAAGTACAGGCCTTTACAGACAGGCCTGAATATCTATATCCTAACAGGTCCATCAATGGCTATTAGTCAGGATGCGCAGGGATGGTGTCCCTTCTCTTTCCTAGAAGCTGGGAGTGGGAGACATGTCATGGATGACTTGATGATTGCCCTGTTCTGTTCATTCCCTCTGAAGCACGTGGTATTCTCCAGTGTCAGAAGATAGGATACTGGGCTAGTTGCACCATTGGTCTTACCCATTAGGGCCATTCTGACGTTCTTATATAGATCCCAAATGTATCTGCTCCCTGATGTAACCTAGTATACCCCACTTGCCTGCCAGAGCTGAGAAAAAAAAATGTAAGTCTTGACACCATCTCACTCTCCACAGATTTAGTAAGAAAGTTTGAATATACATTTAAATTTTAACCTAACCAGGATCCCTTAAGTGACTTGCCACAAGGCGTCAAACATATTAGTATTGGAATTGAGTGAGTCTAATATTTTTTTTTGTTAATATATAAATTAGATATAGTGCCCCTTCACCTAATTGCGAAGTTGTTAGCCAAAAAAAAAACTAGAGTTTTTCAAGAGCCCCGATGGCCCCTGGAATCACTCTTAATGTTGCAATCCCTATCAAAATTTGAAATGCTTCCCTTGCTGCTGGGGAAATTATCAAGACTGTTACAGGAGAGGGGAAGATAGGAGCAAGCAACAGGAGCAGGGCATTTGGTGGAAGAGGGAGAGCAGGGATAGAGCCTTGGTAGAAGAGGTGGGTCAAGGGGTTGGGTTTTGGGGATCCAGTTATAAGTAATTAGAAAGGTGGCAACCCAGTGAGTTTCACACAGACTGATTCCCCAGTTTCTCATGTTTATACTGCAAAGTAAGGTCAGGAAAGGTTTCAATGTCTCTCAGACTATGCAATAAGTGATTCAGGAAAGAGGGCTCAACACCAAGTCACCAGCCAGCTTTGCACAGAGCTCTGTCTGAAAGCCAGAGCACCAGGAGAAAACTTTAGGCCCATTGATGAGTAAAGAGCCGGAGCAAACTGTCCCGGATCTGTTTGGTCCTCACCCCATAGATGATGGGGTTCAGCATGGGAGGCACCAGGAGATACACATTGGCCATGAGAACATGGAAATTCAGGGACACGTTCTGGCCAAACCGGTGGGTGAGGAAGGAGAAGAGAGATGGGATGTAAGAGGCTGAAATGACACAAAGGTGGGAGCTGCATGTCCGAAAAGTCTTGAGCCGGGCGTCCTTTGTGGGGAGGCTGAAGATGGCCCTGAGAATCTGAATATAGGACACAGTGATAAAAAACAAATCCAGACTAGCCACATTGAATGCCACAAAGAGGCCGTAGTAACTACTGATGCGGATGTCAGCACAGGCCAGTTTCACCACAGCCATGTGCTCGCAGTACGAGTGGGCGATGATGTTGGTTCTGCAATATGGCCACTGCCTCGCCAGGAAGGGTTTGGGGATTATTAGTATTCCCCCACGCAGCACCACAGCTATGCTGATCTTGGCCATGATACGGTTTGTCAGGGTGGAGGAATGTCTCAGGGGATCACAGATGGCCATGTAGCGATCAAATGCCATGGCCACAAAGATCCCAGACTCTACCACTGTAAAGCAGTGAATGAAGTACATCTGGGTGAGACAGGCACTGAAATTTATCTCCCTGGAATTGAACCAGAAGATGCTCAGCATTTTAGGCAGGGTGGATGTGGACAGGACCAGGTCGGTGACAGCCAACATGCAGAGGAAATAGTACATGGACCCATGGAGGCTTGGCTGCATCTTCACAATGTACAGGATGGTGAAGTTCCCCAAGATGGCTATGGCGTACATGGCACAGAAGGGGATGGAGATCCAGATATGGGCTGCCTCCAAGCCAGGAATGCCCAGCAGGATGAAGGTGGAGGGGTTGGTGAAGTTGCTTGTATTGTTTGAATCTGACATGGAGTATGGGAGAATTGTCCAACTCTGAGGCAGAAAGTTGTCTGATGAATGCACAACATGTTGCCCTGAGATCCTGTATGTGCACAGATTCTAGTGTGCTGGTCGCATTATTAATGCCTGGATGGAGAGACAATGTTAATATGAGACACTGCATGAGCTACTAGAAGCTGTTGCCATGGGTGAAGCCAATTGCTTGCTCTTCATACACTGAAAAGTGAAATTTTCATTATTCAGATAAACAAATCATGAACAACTGACACTACTAATGCCAATTCCACATTTGATGGTGCTTCATGCATCAATAGTTCCTACACATCATGGTGTGGAAAACCTTTGAAGGCACCAGCAGGAAACACAAGTGTGGATACTGGTTATCCCTTATTATTCCTTAATAAAATCAAACCCAGACCAGAGAGTCCATGCTCTCGCGAGTTCTCCATTCTCCCAGTTGCTCAAAATCTGACAGTAGGAAATAATGAAAGATTTGCCAGGACATGTGCCAGGGGGAAACATCCCAAATAGAACACACCTTAGGGAGAAGAGCTGGGCATAATTGATAGCAGCTACATGGAAACACCTGCTCATTCACAGAAGTGGTCAAAGCAAAGGCAATGTTTGGTTGCTTAAGTAATGGGATGGAGAATAACCTATTCTGGATATGTGCTAAGTTTGGCTAACCAGTCTCTATAAAGGATATAGCAGACAGAGAGGGGGTTTTTGAGACAGTCTGTGAGAATGGGGGAAGCTGCCATATGCACATAGACTGAAGAGTCTGGGCCTATTTAGTGTAGAGAAGAGACAATGAAGTGGGTATGTGATAGAGGAGAACAAAATAACAGAATGGAACTGATTACATTCAAATGGAGAAACAGAGACCAGTTCCCAACCAGTAATATCTATAGACACTTATTGCTTCAAAGGGGCTAATTCCCCAAAGCTGAGGCAAATTATCAGCAAAATGATTGGGAGGAAAAATTAGTAATTATTTAAGCAGAGTTTGTATAATAGCTAAAAACCACAATTCCAGAGTCAAGAAAGTGGATCATTTTTGCTAAAAACCCAATTGTGTGGCCAACAGAAGGCAGCCATTAGATGGGGAAAAGCATATATAAGAAAGAGGAAAAAAGGAGAAACATATAACAAGTAATATAAATCAGAAGATATGAAAACTGAAAAGGAAAGTTGAAGACATCTGGGGAAAATCCATGTTTCGCAGGCCTAAGGATCACAAAAAGGAGGTTAGTAAGTGTATTAAGAACAAAAGAAATCCTAGAAAAGGTTTGGGCCAATTCCAAGAGGGAGAAAGGAAACTTGTTAATGCTGCAGGAGAAGAAGATAGGTTTGTGACGGGTTCGGCCACAGAGGAACCCTTGGGACTGTCACTTTTCATGCTGAGACTACCTCTGAGGCTGTAAGTGGTTTCAAGCATAGAGTGCAACATCACAATCATGCCACGTCATATAGAGTCCAACATCACAGTGTTCGAGAGATAGTTTTGTTCTGCATTTAGAAAGAAGCAGTATGATGTACTCATCTATGATTAGGATGAAATATCTTCTAGTCCATTAGCTGTCAAGGAGGATGTTAAACAACATCTTCAATAGAACCTTAGAGTTACAAACACCAGGGTTAGGAACTCACCGATCAACCACACCTGTCATTCGGAGCCAGCAATATGCAATCAGGTGGCAGCAGAGCCAAAACAAACACTAAAACAAAACAAAATGAAAACTGGAAAAGTCAAATACAGGACATGAGTCTGTTAAATGTAAAAAATTAAAAAATCAAGGGAAAGTTTAAAAAAAGATTTGATATGGATAAGAAACAATGGAAAAGCTGGTATGGGATTAGTTTAAAAAAGTCTATGAATATAACTAATGCCAGTCAACAATAGGGTTTATGGAAACCAGGTCTTTTCAAATAAAACCAATTTCAATGTTTAATGAGAGTATGTTTGGCCGACCTGGGAACTGAGCAGATGCAATAAATTTTGATTTCTCGGAGACATTCAATTTAGTAGGGGAAAATATTCAAATAAAAAATAAACACGGTACAATATCAGTAGAGCACACATAAAAACGGACTAAAAATTGGCTAACTGACAGATCTCAGAAAGCAGCTTTCAATGGGCCATTGTGAGCAAGTGGGGCTGTTCCTAGTGGGGTTCTGCAGAGATGAGTTCTAGGCCAGATGCTATTCAATATTTTAATAAATGATCTGGAAGCAAATAGAAAATTACTTCAGATAAAATTTATGACCGACTCAAAGATTGGCACAGTGGTTACAATAAGGAGGCCAGGGCAGGTATACCAATTGATTTGGAGAATTTGGTGATCTGGGCCCAGCCAAACAAAATGTTTAAATATATTAAAATGCAAATTTATCATCTAGGAACAGGGAATACAGGTCCGACTCACAGACTAGATCACTGCATTATGGAATGCAGGGACCCTTAAAAGGATTTACGGGTTACTGTGGACAACCAACTCATCATAAGCTCCCAGTTTGAAGCTGTGGCCAAAGGGGCTGATGTGACCTTGGATGCATAAACAGGAGAGTGGCAACTGCATCCAGTTCTGGGGCCCACACTTCAGAAAGGATTTTGAAAAATTGGAGAGAGTGGAGAAAGGAGCCATAAAAATTATTTGAGACTGACGAAAGAGACTTCAAAAATTTCATTTATCAAAAAAGATGATAAAGGGGAAACTTTCATTGGGAAAAGACTGATAATTGACTCTGTAATCTAGTGGAGAAAGGACGAGCAAGACAGAATGGCTGGAAGCTGAAGCCAGAGAAATTCCAGATGGAAATAAGGGCCAAATGTTTAGCACTAGGGGTTGTTATCCATTGGAACAAACTGCGAAGGGAAGTGGTTCTCCATTTCCTCATGGCTGCAGATTCAGACTGGATGCTTTTCTGGAAGAGCTGCTTGAGGGCTTGTCTGCACATAAAACACTACAGCAGATCTGCCGTAGTGCTTCAGCGTAGACACAACTTACACCAATGGCGGGGGCTCTCCCATCAGCGTAGGTAATCCACCTCCCTGAGAAGTGGTAGGTAGGTCGATGGAAGAATTCTTCTCTCAGCCTCATTCTGTCTACACCAGGGTTAAGTTGATATAGCTATATCTCACAGGGGCGTTGTTTTTTTGCTCTGGCACAAAAAGAAAATGCAATTTTAGGTTGCATTAACAGCAGCAGAGCATGCAACTCACGGGAGGTGATATTGTTCCTCTACTGGGAGCTGATTAGGCTTCAGCTGCAGTACTGTGTCCAGTTTGGGTCACCAGCGTATAGGAAGTCTGTAGAGAACCTGGAAAGGATCCATGGGATGGAATAAAAGCCATACAAGCAACGGCTGAAGGAACTGGGTATGTACAATTTGGAAACAAGGAGATTGAGCAGGGACATGAGATCAGTCTTGAAATACTTGAAGGGCTGCCATAAAACCTATGGAGAAAAGTTGTTCTCTCCTGCCACATAGTACAGGACAAGAGGCAATGGGTTCAAACTCCAGCAGAACTGAGTTAGATGAAATCTCAGAGTTTCAGGAATTGCCAGACTGTAAGAACAGGAGGACAGTGGAACAGACGCCTCGATCCTTCACTGGAGGTTTTTCAAAGGAGGCTGGATATTCATCAGTTTGAATGGTTTAGGTGCAACAAATCCTGCATCTTATAGGTTGTAGAATACCTGCCCATTGTTGTCCCTTCTCAACCTCTGGCTCTACCTTTCTATAATGTGAAATCTGAGTGTAAACCAAGCCTTTGTCAAACACAAGTTGAGGAGCTCAATACAGGGGTAAGTGTGTGAAATTTAATGGCCTGTGTTATACACAAGGTCAGACTGGATGATCTAATGGTCCCTTCTGGCCTTAAACTCTATGAATCCATTGAGAAAGAAAGTAGATCAGACAATTATATTTATTGTCTCTCACAACACATGAACAAGGGAACCTTCAATTACATTTAATACCGATAAAAGAAAATTGTTTACATAAACCATATTTGGTCTGTGGAACTCCTTGCCATGGCCATTAATGGAAAATCTTAGCTGAATGGGATTCACAAATAGACTGGCCATTATATGTGGTGCTGATGGCACCACCTTTAGCTAAGGCTGTCTGAAAATGTCAGTTAGAAGACCTCATATTCAAATGCTTGTAATAACTTTGCCAAACTTTAAGAGTTTGGACTGTAAATTCCCTTGCTGGGTGTCTGCTATGGGCTGAACTGTTTTCCATCATAACAGTTCAGCTGACTTCTTGAATGAAGCTGGGAGATAAGATGTCTTGCCCATGATGAAAGATTCTTATAGTTTTTATAATTTTTATGATTCCAGTAAGAAGCCCTAGTACGTCCCTGCGTTCCATCAGATAAAGGTCAGGTAACAGCCCTCCCACCCCCGTGTTAACAGCTAGAGCTCTGAATTGCAAGAGGAGCAGGTGACAGTGTCTGTGCATTAGCACACAGCCGACTCCTGAGGTCTTTACTCAGTTCTTACTCCAAGGGGAGTTTGAACTCAGTGGAGCCTGAGGAAAGTATGGGCCATGGCCTCAGAATGTGGCCTTGTATTGTACATCTACTAACACCTTTCAGACTGAAGCAGCCACTGTGCCATTGAAATGCAGCTCCCTTGAGGCTGGAGGCCATCAGCTAGGATGGGTGGGGATACACAGAAAAGAGGAATACTTTGGCTAATCATACCGGAACAAGCTCATCCCCTGTGGCAAGGGCCCTAAGATGTTTAAAGGCTGGGCAGAGAGGAAAGGACAACAGACTTACTTTCTGTCCCAGCACATCCACGGTACACTGTGTTTATCAAGCAGGTGAGCTCCTCAGCAAGAGATGGGTACCTGTGAATTGTGGGATGGAAGTGCCTTCCCTGGTAATCCCCTCAGATAGCCGTGTCCCAAACCTCTCTCAGCCCAGCATCTTCAGCATCTTCCCATGCTGAGAGCCAACACAGTGGTGTGTACCATACAGTTCTGTGCAGCAGCAGAGGTTT